AAGGCCGTCCTTTTTTTATTTTTTTTTTTTTTTTGGTGGAGGACATTTTGTCTTTTTAGTCTCAGTGACAGTCGCAGAAGAAGGGATACTACACTCATCTTTGTAGCCAATCCCAGCGTTCATCAGTAGAGGGCGGGGTCACACCCCAGACTCTCCAGCTGTCCACTGTTGGGCCACATCCAGAAACAAACAATTATTAAATAGAATTGTCAAACAGTTTAATAACATTTTGAATCTGACTAATCACAGGGGAGCGATGAATCAACCCTGTCTAAATATGACCAAAAAAACCCCTGTCTGTGTCAGGACTGGACTGAAAACACCAGGCAAAACTTACACACTTCTTATTCCAAGACCTGGCATCAAACCAGCAAACATGGGATGTGGCTTTAAGGCAGAACTAACTGCCCCGACACAGGGCATGTGTCTCAAGGTGCAGCCACCACATACAGAGATAGTTTATGATAAATTGGTCTTAAAGAGACAAAGCTCCGCCCACTTTGGCCCTAATGCATGAATCATGAAGAGGACGAAGAATGAAAAGAAGGCGAGAGAGCGGGAAAGTCAACGAGTGAAGAGTGGGTTTAGATAAAAGTTTCAATCGTCTTTGTGTGGAAGGACGACAGCGCGGCGTGGACACCCAGACACGGCGGTCGCCGTCGTTGACCTACATCACACCTTTGTCACAGTCGTGGGTGTGTCCACTTGAAAAGGTGTGTGCTGCGTCCCGGGAGTCGCCTTGACACTTTTTATGTCTTTGTATTTACACAGTCTGTGGGAGGAGCAGTAGCAGGTCAATGAAGCTGCCAGCCAACACACACACACACACACACACACACACACACACACACACACAGGGGAGAGCCAAGTTAAACAAACGTCTTCCTCTTCCTCCTCAAACACACACCTACTTCCTGCAGGATTAAACTGGTTTACCACCGACCCTGCTGAGACACAGGGTCTGGTTTGATTGGAGGACAATCGAACAGGTTGTGGAAGGGCAGGTGTAAAAGTCTTGGGTTCTGTGGACACGTTAACTGATCCAAACGTTAGCGTCTGTGTGAACAGTAGCGTGTGCTAACAAAGGAGTGTCCGATTCAACCATGTTTGTTTTACGCCGTCGTCTCTTTATGCTCCAACAGGTCTGGGACTGTTCCGTGTCATACAACCATATTATACAACTGACAATAATTGTTATAAATAATAACTTCACCTGGAGCGCTGGAGCCAATCCCAGCCGTCATCAGAGGAGGGCGGGGTCACACCTTAGACAGTTCCTTAGTTCACTGCGGGATCATAAATATAGAAAATCACTATGTACACAACAACCGTTCACACTGATATTCACACCTACGGCCAGTCAAGAGTGAACAACCAACCCAATCCTGCACGTGAGATCATCAGGCGTACCGAAAAGTATCCAAACGATCTATTGCAAAACATTTCTTTGTTCCTCTATGCAACAGTGACAGGCAGGACAATTAAATATTCTTCCACAAGGTGGCAGCAGATGGCTTATAAAAGTAAGAAAAAGGCTCACAGCTGTTGAAGAATCTTCGCGTCTGTCTTTCTTCAATTCCTGTCAAAACATCAGCGTGGTGTTCCACTAAACAGGAGCGAGAAAATGTGAGTTAATTCAAACTAACAGATCATCAACTTTCATTGTGTACACTTTCATTACATAAAATTCATTTGAATATATATATATATTTACAAAGTGCCTGTTGAGATGCAATGACAACAAAAAAAATCACTCCACAGTATATATATTTACAAAGTGCAATGACAACAAAAAAAATCACTCCAAATTTCTTATTTTTGGATGTTCAAGGTTTCTGTTTATATATGTACAATTGAAATCACAGTTTTAACAAAATACAAAATAAATAACATTAACAATACTAAGATAAATGCGTTCTGAGTGACTAGTCTGGAGGAGGCCTAGGCATCTCACTTTGTTTTTTTAAAAATGTCTAAAAACATGTTTGTTTCTTCTTAAACTACATTTCCCATGAAGCACAGGGTGTAGGCATCCCACCTCAAACAATAACCATCTCCTTCTTATACATATATATATATATTTATATATTTTTTTATTTTTTTGCACCTGGATTTCCGCCCATTCCTGAATTGACCAACCACAAATCAGCTTTCTGCTGCCAATCAGGAGCAGGCGTCTGAGAGGGCAACGGACAGTGGTCAGGTCAAAGGTGAGAGGTCACAGAGGCAGAGGTCAGCAGCAGCAGCAGCAGTGCCCAGGTAGGCCACCCCAGGGGTGTGTGTGTGTGTGTGTGTGTTTGTATAACTATACTTGTTAGACCCAGTTTAAAATGAACAAACAGTGTTTTTAGGTTTTTACTAAGTTAATTGGACTCTCAACAGTGTCATTGTTTTTGGATATAACAATTATATACATAACCTGGTGGTATAAAGCAGTGGTCCACAGCCTTTTTTTGCACCAGATATAAAATGTACATCCTTATTCATATACAACAACCTAAGGAAGTGATTGTTTGTTTTATGTTTTTTAAAATAAAATACCATGCAGACGTACATTAAAAAAAAAAAATGTTTTGTTATGTTTTTTTAAATAAAATACCATGCAGACGTACATAAAAAAAAAAAAATCTATATTAAAATCATGGCCCAGTACCTAATAATCCACTGGTCCCTGGCCTGATGGCTGGGGATCCCTGACATAAAAAAAAAAAAATCAATTCACTTTTTTTGTTAATCTATTTTTTTATATTCCGACAAATATATTAAATACTTACACTACACATTACAACACTACACCAGCCCAAAGGATCGATTTTGGATTTTGGTTTAGATAAAAAATCCTAACCAGAACTTCCCAGGTCCCAAGTATAGTGACACAAAGCATGTGAATGTGTGCATGTAAATGTAGAATTTCTTTTTCCTCCAGTGTTTTATTGCAGCGTCTGTGATGTTGCTCAGGGTCGGGGTCAGTACAGCCTCAGAGGAATCCTCCACATTTTGCAAAAAATTCAGGAATGGGAGAGAACGGGAGGATCGTACAAATAAGGAAACGTAAAAAAAAAAAAAAAAAAAATGAAATCTTTCCATTTACAGTTTTCTCTCCAAAATACGTGTCTGTTTGTAAATCAGTAGTCAAGATGAACTCAGATCCATCCGTTCGTCCGTGTTTAGCACAAGAATGTAAATGATTTGTCCAACAAATGGAGTGAAATGAAAAAAAAAATCTGTCTGTAAAGTGGACATCCCGTTTTTTTTTCCAGTTGAACAAATGAAAAGCAGCAGGATTGAACTCCCGCTGTTTCATTTAGACTTGTGTCAGGACCAAATTACAGTAGAGGCAACTGAAGGAAGGAGAACAAGGGGCGGCGTAGGGGGGGGATCTTAGTCCGATCTCAAATGTGATTGGACAGTCGTGATGGGAGGAGCATCGTGGTAAAAACTCTTTAAAAATCCATGGCACAGTAGATTGGTTTTTTTGTCTCCCGGCTGAAATGTATTAAATTCTCCCAAAGTAAAAAGTTCATCTCCGTGTAACAGCAGATGAAGAAAAATACTTCTGATATCCAGCATCACTTCAGTGTCCGTTCACCAGTCGACGATGAGGTGAAAAAGGGTGAAAATGTGAAAAAAAGTCTGACAAACACAGAGTGAAAGCAACAGAGAGCAGAAGGAACTCTTAGCTTGAAAGAAAGTTAAAAAAAAAAGTTAAAAAATATCAAATATCTTTTTAAACACAGCCTGGCGGATACTGGAGGTTCACACAGGTTTTAAACCATACTGGAGGTTGTTACATTTCAAATACAGTGTCGAATTAATGCCCTTGTTAACATGAAAAGTTCTGCCGGGCCACAGAAATACAACGTAAATTTAATAAAGTTTTTAAACTTAATCACAAAAAAAAAAAGTGTGACAAGACACACAAAAAAGAAAAGTATCTGAGGTTTCAGATGAAAAATCAACCAAACAAATACTTGGTACCTGGAAAGATTATAAGTGTAGTAAAAAAAAATTGAACTGAGGTTTGGAAATGTTTTGGACCAGGCCTTGAACGAAGTGTGGAATCAGGAAAACAACAGGACGAAGAGCGAGGACTAGAATTCAGAGGAGGAGTGTGATCCGCCGTGGACGAGTGACTTGTAAATGCCGGAGGAGATGAAACGTGGGTAGGAGTCCCTGTGCATCAGCGTGTAGATCTGCAGCTGGGCGTCTTCAAACGTGTGAGGCGTCGGTTCCTGCATCTTCCTGTTGATCACCTCACGGACCCGGGCGTCCAGACTCACCTGCAGGGAAATGAGCTGAGGTTAGAAAGGACATCGAAAATCCAGGACTTTCTGTATTTTTTCATTTATAATAAAAAGATTGACGCTTCTGTCACAGATGAAGTTCTAGCGCCATCTGGCTTTTTTCATGCTTCAAAACTGAACGAACAATTAAAAAATGTTGTTCTTTTGTTCCTCTATGCGACAGTGACGGGAAGGACAATTAAATGTTCTTCCACAAGGTGGCAGCAGATGGCTTCAAAAACTAAGAAAAAGGCTCAGAGCTGTTGAAGATCTTCACGTTTGTCTTTCTTCAATTCCTGTCAACACATCAGAGTGGTGTTCCACTAAACAGGAGTGAGAAAATGTGAGTTAAATTCAAACTAATAGATCATTATATTTCATGTACACTTTCATTACATAAAAAGGACGTCTAGTTCTAGCGCCATCTGGCTTTTTTTCTTGCTCCAAAACTGAACGAACATTTAAAAAAATGTTTTCAACAAAACAACAACCGTAGACAGACGATAATAGTTGTTGTAAGTGTAAACATTTTACATTTTCAAATAATAATAATTTGAAAAAAAAAAATGTAAAAAAATATACATTGATTTCACTGAAAAAAAAAATCATTCATTTTCAATTGCATTTTTAGGGAATGGTCTTCGAGACTGAGGAACCATCACACACACACACACACACACACACACACACTCATCCAGCAGATATTTATAGGACAAGGTTCATTCTATGTTTTCTATTTGTTCTTATTAACCCCCCCCCCCGCCTCCCCCCCCCTCCGCACACACACACACACACACACACATCAGCCTTGTCTGCTGTTCAACTGCTATTTATAACTCAGTGTGAGTATGAGGAGGCTCTAAACAGGGCTCTCTTTATTTATCATAATGCTGGAGGCTTGTCAGGCTCTCTCGCTCTCTCTCTCTCTCTCTTTCCCCCCTTCTTCCTCCCCTCTCTGCCCCTCTCTCTCTCTCTCTCGCTCTCTCTCTCCTTCTCTCTCTCCTGTACATTTGTGCTCACGTCCCATGTACAGTTGTTTTCCTGCGTGTGTTTCCTACAATGAAGCTAAAAATTGCTGCACTCGTCACCTTCAAGCTGAGTGGAGGGGGGTGCGGGACACATTCCCGACCGTCTGTTTCTGCCTGTGTCTGACCTTGATGCACTGCCCTCCCTTGTTCTCCCCTCTCTCTCTCTCTCTCTCTCTCTCTCCCCCTCGCTCCGTAGTTGAGGGTGGTGCTGGTAAAAACATCCAACCCTTCTTCATGGAGTTATGAGCTAATGGGTTTTATTTTACCAAACTGCTGAGGACACAACGTTTTCAAGTCCAACACCGACACGGCAACTTGGAGTATCTGCCGATGCCGAGGCGACAGTGTCCCTGTTTACAACACATCGACGAAGTTAAGTTGAACGATTTGGGGCTGAAATCATTGTCCATAATTACATACAGTAAACGCCACGGGATAATTTGTTATCTTCTTAATAATATTCTTTGTAATATTCTTAATAAAAGAATTATCATGAGCAGCGCTAATGTCATGGCCCAAAAAAGGGAAGGGGTGACACCCCCCGGGGGGGGGGGAGTTAGGGGAAGTAATGAAGCAAGAACAATGAAGAAATCCCAAGCTGAGTTTGTTGGTATCAATTTCAAAACATCGTAGTTCCCTGTGACGGGAGTGTGCACCGTGTGTGTAATCGTCAAAAATCCTGGTGTGAAGTTCAACCAACACCAGGAACCTGAACAGTGAAGCAAACCTGTTGAATCAATGGAAACCACACCAAAAGTCCCTGCAGAGATTTACAGTTCTGGTTGACAAACTGCAGTGCAGTGGCATTATATCACTAAAAGTCAGGGATTTATTATCACAAAATAATACAAATAAAAGTAGGGTTCATGGGAGAAGGCCGGAGCGGCCGCCTACCTCTTTTGGTGACAGTATAGAAATGTAGTCCTCGTATATGGAGCGTGCTTTCTCCTCCACGGCACTCTTGTTGATCTCCTGTTTGAGGTCCTCACAGGCCAACCAGAACAGCATGTTCTCCTCGCTGTACTCCGTTCGCAGGAACTCTCGGAAGACGTTCCGACCGGCTGGGTTCCTCATCAGCTTGTCAAAGGACTGAGACCACAGCCTCATCTCCTCCACTGAGGCTTTGGTGCTGCAGAGAGCAGAGTGGACAGGTCGTCTTTATCTGCCGTCACTAACGCTCCTCTGCTGAGAATTCATTATTTTCTTCTTCGTTATGGTTTGTGTGGTTATATACATGCGGGGTGAGGTGGTGCTGTGTCATACACCTCATCCTCCACTGACCAGAGTGACTGAGGTCTGACGACTCACCAAGGTTCAGAGTTTGGAATGGTCTCCATTTTGTTGTTGTCCTGTGCTATTTGCTTCTTCCTGCGCCGCCTCCGTCTCTCCTCTTCATTCCTGACAGTGAGACTGACATGATAAAACGGCCTTCACACCAAAACACACCCTCTCTCTCTCTCTCTCTCTCACACACACACACATACAGACCTCAGATTGACAAATAATCAAAGTCTGAACTATAAACCATACTGTACTATATTATACTATACTATACAAAATTATACCATATTGTACCATGAGCAGCTGCAACAGCAGCACCAGCAGAAGCAGCAGGCATTGGGTCGCTGGGAATTCTGGGTAGTGGTCATATCCCTCCGCCCTCCTATCCCACTCAGTGCTGAGGTCTCGCTGCGACCTCTCCCCATGGCCAGCTCGCCCCCACGCTCAGTGGGGATGGGACCTGTGTACTGCACGGAGACAAGTATCCTGTGAGTTCTTTAGAAGTATTTGAAGTCTTTTATAATTGTGACTTTTATAAAAGTGACCACAAAAAAAACCTAAAATAGACATTTATATATATATATATATATATATATATATCCAAAAATGTGTGTTAAAATTTAAATGCCTAACATAAAATTAGTGATGTTGATGCATTAATTATTATGAGTAGACTTTGGTAAAATATCAAAAACTCACAGCAGTAAACACTGACTGACATCGACAACAACAACAAACACGTCAGTCGTACACATGACCACTGGAATAATGGATGTGCGATGCTGCTTATTCTCAGTCCCGTTATAAATAGCTGAATGATCTGATATCATAAATCTGCAGTTAAAAAAACCCACTATGATTAGAAAGTCCAAAACAAAAATCTGCAGTTAAAAAACCCCACTATGATTAGAAAGTCCAAAACAATATGTTCAGCTACAAAGAACCGTGTGGTGAAACGTGAGCTTCAACAACATCGCAGCCAGAGACGGAGGCTAAGAATTGACTTCACGTGATCGCATTTGTTTACAGTAATCACAACGAGACAGGCACAGTTAACATGGAAGTCACATGTGATGGTGGTGGTGTGTTGTCTTTACAGCAGATGAAGGATAACAAGTTCATGGTGAAAGACCTACAGTCCAGTCTCCAGAGACTGGATGACTGCTGGATTCTAGATGATAAATTACTGCTTTCAATAGCTTTAAATGTATTAATATTAGTGTGAAATAAGATGAGATGGAAAATAAAAATGGAGAAGATGATAATGTATCTCAAAATACACGAAGATACAAAATTTAGGAATAAAAGTGAGTACAAATAAAATAAAATAAAAATCTGTTTCAAAGAAAACGTCTTCATTATTATACTGGGGTATTTGGAGGTTTGGAAAGCTGGAGGAGGATTGTGTAGAATAGAGGAAGTGAAAGAGATCAGCTACGGAGACAGAGCAGGCAATGTGATGCATCATGTGATTGAGCTGTGATCACACAAACGCACACAAAGACAATCACACATACACACAGACATAGGTTCCTCTACACTTCTACACCAAGAACTTAGAAACCAGGGATGACTGCGCTGCTTCGTCCCTTCCAAAAACGTTGCCGGTGTTCAGAGCTGGCGTCACATCACAGACCTGAGATTTTTGTCATGAAAATGTTCCATAACATGAGGGTCTTTGCCATCAAAGTTTAGTTCGTCAAAATAACACGGTGGTTTGAATGCAGTCCGACCAACAGCCTTTGAAGAGCACACTTTTCTAGAGCATTGCTTTTTGGCGGGCAAAATTTCTTTCAAAATTCAGATAAAAGTAGCAAAGTCATCAACCGATGCTTATTTTTAACCCTATCGTGAAGGTACATTCCTGAATACTGGGAATTTCCAGACCTCCGACAAGGAGATGTGCACTGGAACGCCAAAGTCAAAAATATTACTGAAGAAATTGGGTAGCTAGCTGGCTAGCTCAGATAGCTGGATAGCTGTGTTTCACCAAGAAAGTAAACTTTTTTTTCCTGCTGGATTTCAGTATCTCCAGTTTCTTCAAAAACAATCCAAAAAGGCTAGGCTTTTTTTCAATATATGTTCGACTTTGTCAAGAGGAATTTGTTGAAAAATCCCAGCTTTCTGAAAAGCAGCAAAAGCAATGATCCATAATACAAACTACTTTTCCATCAACAACTTAAACAAATTCCGGAATCTTCTAACGGTGAAGGTGCCACTCAATGTCCCGTTAATGTGTTGCCCACAGGACCAGCACTGACATTGAGCCACTGCGTCGACACACAGCACATTCAGGCTTCATGAAAGACGCCGAGTATTAATATCAGTGTTTACCTACCACGTCAGAGCGGAGGAGAACTCCCCTTCATTACCTCACCTCACCCGCACACAGGTTTTTACAACAGAGACGTATCAGATTTCTGCATCGCTATGTTCGTCAGTGAATAAAGACTCGGTGTCACCGTGGACGTGTGTTTGTGTTTATTTGCAAAAAGCCGAGTTCCCACAAAAGAAGGTGTCTGATTCGATGCTTGTGAGTTTCTGACCAAACGCAAAAGTGTTTCGGCGGATTTAAGCGGTTCAAAACAGATATCGTTAGTGACACAAACACTGACCGACAAACACAACAATAGTTCACTGCCGCATTGTCACAGCTCCATCACTGGGCAGATATTTTAATCGTGACAAAGCCCAAATGCTGCTTCCTCCTATGCCTCTTTGAAACAACATCACTGAACATCCCATCAGTCGGGTTAAGACTCACTGTGACAAAACTAATAAGTTCAAAGTAACTTAAGAACTAAACTCGAATCAGAAAAAGTTCAAAGTAAATTAAGAACTAAACTGTTGTCTCAGACTTTTTTGGTAAGAATTCGTCTGTATATCCAAAGAAAACTATTTCTAATCCCAGACTGAGAAGCAGAAGTTGAATGTGAAGTACAGTTCCTCCAATCGTTGCGGTCATCGTTTGGAGAAAAGGAGCGTGACAAATAAAGTCCAGACAAGCCGCAGTAACAATGTTTAAAATAAGCTACAGAAAAATGGATCACTCATAATTTCCATGCGTTTTTTCCTCCAGTCTTTTTTTCCGACAAACACCTTTCGTGACATACATTTCCATCTAGGACTAGCATTAGCGGGCAGCATTTCAAGTTGGTGTTAAGTATGTTAAGTATGTCACCTTAGCATTCTGAATGCAATGGTATAGTACAGTATATATATTCACAAATATTACCATCCAACATCTGACAGCATCGCTGAGGGAAGAGGGAGGAATCGAACAGATCTTTTTGTGTCTTTCTTCAATTCCTGCAAGTATATCAACGTAGTATTCAACTAAACTGGCCCAGCTTTCACACGGAGTAAATCAATGGGGATTAAATTAACACTAGATGATCATTATATTTC